TTCAAATCTAACCCAATAATATGTCTTCGTTATCAATAGCACCTACTCGATATTTATTGACTAAATTCTCCAAAACCAATTAAGTAAATCGTCTTAATTTCTTTACATCTTGTAAATCTATCTATACATGAGATTAAACTTTTTCCAAGATCAAGCAATGTGCTCTTCTTTCTCTATGTACAATCTCTTTGTATAGATAGTGTTTTGAACTTGTTCTTCACCCGAGCTTTTCCGATAGAGTTGCCACAAGATCTTCCCGAGCTTTCTCTAACGCGCCTGAGAGATTTTCGGGCTTTCTGCCGCCTGCTTGAGCGAAATTGGGCTTTCCACCACCTCCTCCGCCACACAACTTAGCTATAGGGCCAATGAACTTCCCTGCTTGAATGCCGAGAGACACTACTCCAGGACTGAATGCAGCTACTAAACTAACTTTGTCTTTGTCTGGACATGATCCTAGTACCACAGCTGCTGGATCTTCCAGTGTGCTTACCAAATGCTCGGCTGCACTCTTTAATGAGTCAGCATCGGTATCATCCATCGATTCAACGAGCACTCTAAAGGAATTAAACATTCACAGGAAGAAATTTAGTAGAAATTGTATAGTGTTAGACAATTCTTCTGAACTTAAAACATTTTAGCAGGAAACAATAAATTTTTGTTACCTTATCTTCTGTGAAGTTCCTACAGTAAATGCTTTGTTCGATATGACAGATGCTCTATAGACCGCTGCTTTTGAACGCAAGTCTGAGGCTTCTTTTCTAGCAGAGCGCAGTTCCTCTAGAAGATTCTCCACTCTGTTTGTAACATCCTCTGCTTTCACCTTCATATTAAACCAAATAACAATTAGTTATGTTAAAAGTAACTACCACCTCTGTTTGTTTCAGTTACACACGCCTTCAAACACGGAAGGGAGAACCCTCTTGAAGCAGAATACCTTGAGAGTCGAGCTTTTTATTGTCATTTGAGAATCCCATCAGTTTATGTATTCAATGAATGCTTCACCTGCAACCGCTTCGATACGCCTGAGTCCAGATGCAATGCCCTGTTCTGAGATAATCTTGAAGGCTCGTATTTCTGCAGTATTGCCAACATGAGTGCCACCACAAAGTTCCATGGAGACACCAGGAACTTCTACTACACGAACCTGCGATTAATGTAAGTGTCCTCTTAGACAAGCCAAATCAAATTATAACCAAAATGAAACACTTCATACTAATGTGGTTCTCATCATTTCAAGATTTGTGAAACTGCTTGCCGGCTGTTTTGACATGTAACAGAGCCAATCCAATCTTTTAATTTGTTGATAATGACATCTCTCTTACCTCATCATCATATTTTTCCCCAAACATTGCAATGGCTCCTGCTCGTTTTGCATCAGCAAGAGGAAGGACTTTTGTTTCAAGACGTGTAGCATCCCCAATCCACCTATTGATCAGGCATTCAATCTCCTCAAGCTCTTCATCATGTAGGGAACGGTTAAAATTGAAATCGAATCTGAGGCGGTCAAAAGCTACTAATGAACCAGCCTGTGATGTTTCGTCTCCCACAACTTTCTTAAGTGCTGATTGCAGCAAATGGGTGGCCGTATGGTGAACCTGGAAAGTTGACAAAAATGATCAAAATTTTGAAAAGGAAAGAGGCAGTTGGGAAACTGGGATGCAAGATGACATTCAAACGCACCTTTGCTCGTTGCCTCAGGTCTGCATCTACGGCTGCTTCTACCTCCTTGCCAACTTCCAGAGATCCACTTTTTACAGTGCCCTTGTGAACAAATTTTTTAAGCGATTTCTGCACATCACTTACCTCAACAACAGCATTCTCTTGGCTCCCATCATTGTAAACATAAAGAAAACCATGATCTGCAATTTGACCTCCTGATTCAGCGTAGAACGGAGTTCTGTCTAGCAGAATCTCTACTTCACTGCCTTCAGAAACCCTTATCACAGGCTTCCCACCCACCAAAAGATTTTTCACAACAGCACGAGCAGAGAGACTGTCATATCCAAGGAACTCAGTGTCGGCAATATTTTTCGTGATGTCAGCATCATCTTCAACTGTCAGTTTTACAACATTGTGAGCAGCTTGAGATTGACGTCTTTGATTCTCCATTTCCACTTCAAACCCATTCATATCTACACTGACTCCACGTTCTTCAGCAACTTCTGTGGTTATCTCTACAGGAAAGCCGTATGTGTCATACAGAATAAACGCATCTTTTCCAGATAGACAAGGTCTATTTTCAGTTTTATCAGCCGCTGACAGGGCATCGTGAAGCTTTTGCTCAAGCACCTTTTCTCCTCTTTCCAGAGTTTTCTTAAAGTGAAGTTCCTCTTGCCTAATCTCCTCAATGATGCGAGGGGCCCTTAGTTTTACATCTGAATCAATATAAGTGCTCAATTCTATCACCTTTTCAGCAACTGTTGGCAAAAATGCTCCCTTCAGATTACCTTTTCCATCCCCAATAATTCCGAGAGACTTCCCCTTCCGAACAGCCCTTCTTATCAACCTCCTTACAACATAACCTCGGCCAATATTTGAAGGCAGAACACCATCTGATATGAGATAGACAACTGCCCGCAGGTGATCTGCAATCACTTTTAGACTTGTCTTTGCCTGGTGATCTGCAGAGTCATATGAGATATTCGCCAACTCTGAGATCTTTGCAATGATTGGATATATCAAATCTGTCTCGTAGTTGTTTGGAACCTTCTGTAGGATTTGAGCTATTCGTTCTAGACCAAGACCAGTGTCTATGTTCTTCTGTTTCAAGGGTTCAAGCACTCCATCTTCCGTTTTGTTATACTGCATGAAAACCAAATTATAGAACTCAATAAATCTGGTATCATCCCCAAGATCAACATCATCATCAGAACCTCTCTCAGGATGGAAATCATAGTATAACTCTGAGCACGGACCACAAGGACCAGTTGATCCACTAGTCCAAAAGTTGTCAGCTTCACCCATTCTCTTTATCCGCTCAACAGGCACACCGACTTCATTCTTCCAGATTTCAAAAGCTTCATCGTCGTCTTCGAAAATGCTAACCCAAACTCTGTTAGCAGGCAGCCCAAACTCTTTAGTTGATAGCTCCCATGCCCATCTTATGGCTTCTTTCTTGAAGTAATCACCAAAGCTAAAGTTACCAAGCATCTCAAAGAAGGTATGGTGCCTGGCCGTTTTCCCAACATTCACCAAATCATTTGTACGTATGCATCTTTGAGCAGTGGTTGCACAAGGAACCTGTCTAGGTACCTGCAACAATTTAAAAAGTCCAACCAACCAATGTAAATCATCTTCAAGTCCCTAAGGAATAGTCTCAAATATAATTACACCTTTCCAAGGAAAATAGGCTTAAACTGAAGCATTCCTGCAATTGTTAGCAAGACCGTAGGATCTTCTGGTACGAGAGACGCGCTTGGAAGCACCTTATGCCCACGAGAGGCATAGAATTCAAGAAAACACCGCCGTATTGAATCTCCACTAACATCCTTGGACTGATAATCTTCTCTAGCATCCTCAGACACGGGCTGTACTGATACTGAAATCGACAAAGTAAAGATATTTCAGTCCTAAAAAACTCTCAATGGTGATAAAGAATGTCGACATACACCAAAATGCAAACTCCTGAAAAAGAAAACTACGCGAAAACAATCAGTGCAAAACCTGATGAGCTCTTGGCAATAATCTGAGTTGATTTGGGAAGCGATATAGCAGGAGAAGCACCTTCAAAGGTTCTGGCAACAAAACCTGCAAACACCATTATCAGTAACTCGCATAGAAGAATTCTGAAATCAAAGCAACAAGAAGAGAATATTCAAAACTCGACAACTTCATTTATTAATCAAATCAGTGAAGTAAAAGAAGAAGCGAAAGAGTTCTAAACCATAGAAGGATACTGAAAATCAGACTCAGAGAATCCAGTGCTACTTCAAAGATAATGACAATTTTCGTGGAGAAAACAAAAACCCAATTAGGAAAATCTCTCTGCTTCACCGGAAAACAAAACCCAGATCTCAATTTCATCAATTAAACAAACATTTGTGCAAAGTTTATGGTTTCTACGCAACAAAATCTTGAGGATTATATATATATATATCCATTAATCATGGGTTAAGTTTCTACTTACGTCTGGGACTGAAAACACAGGAGCGATGTGAAAAGACGAAAGGTTTAAGAGGAAAATCGAAGAGGCTTGCTCTGCAGAAACTCATCGAGAAGATGAGGAAGAGACTCAGGGCAAAGAAGAAGAAGAACACAAACGCTTTTATCCACTTGTTTTTTTCTTAAATATATATTATTTTATTGTTAGTTTTTTACTAAAAAGGCAAAAAAGGTTTTAAGAATGATTTTACATGAAGAATAATGATTTTACATGAAGATATGGTGAATTACCTTTGATTCTTATCTTTCATTGTAGCCTGATGATGGAGAGAGCTTCTTCTTAGGGGCTAGAAAAGTAGAAGATTTCGATATGCCTTTTTTTTTTTTTTTTCCTGATGAGATGCTGTTATTAGTTAACTAGGGTTTGTTTATTCACTATTTATAGATACATCTTAACAATTTGACCTCTCACTA